CCCCCTCCCCCCCCCCACGCGGGGACGCCGGGACTCGCTGCCCACGCGCCGCTGGGAAATGAATGAACTTCTGTCCGCACCCCCCGGCCCGGGGAGCGGCGCGGCTGAGGGCCGGGCAAGGCGGGGGCGGGCCGGGCAACGCGAGGCTGCTGGGCCCGGGCGCGGAGGGCAGCTGAGAGGCGGCGGCGGACCACCATGCGCCGGGTGCATGCAGGCAGCTGGCTTCCTGCCCCCGCCACGGGCTCCTTCCCTTCCGCGTGTCTGCTCCTGCGGGTTCCCTTCCTCTCCGCGTAGCCAGGCGGCTCTGCGCCCTCCTTCCTGCCTCCCTCTGCCTCTGTGCAGTGCGGGGAAGTCTCTGTCTGCATGCATGCGGACATGCATGCATGCGGACGCTGTGCGTGTGTAGAGCAGGTCTCTAGCTGCATGCGTGCATAAATACATGCACACATATATACATACCCTGCGTGTGTGTGTGTGTGTGTGTGCAGAGGACGCATCTGCATGCATGCATATATACACACCTACTGTGTGTGTGTGGAGGAAGTATCCATCTGCATGCATAAATACATACATACATCAGGACATATGTACATACCCTGTGTGTGCGTGTGTAGGGGAGGCATCTGCGTGCATGCACATGCATACATATATACATACATACACTGTGTGTGTGTGTGTGGAGGACGTATCTACTGCACGCATGCATACACAGTGACACACATCTTGTGTGTGCGCGCGTGTAGAGGAAGTATCTATCTGCGTGCGTGCATACACACATACACAGTGACACACACTTTGTGTGTGCGCGCGTGTAGAGGAAGCGTCTATGTGCATGCACACATACACACTGTGTCTGCGTGTGTAGAAGTATACCTGCATAATACACGCTGTGTGCGTGTAAAAGAAGCATTGATCTGCATGCATATCTACATACATACCCGGGGCGGGGGGGTATGTTCACTTAGGGCCACACCGAGCCAGGTTCTGCTGTCGGGAGTGGGGGGTGTTGGGGTGGGGGCCACAGTGAGTACGCGGTGCCTTGCAAAGGGCCCTCCACCGCCCGGCGGGCCGCCGGGCTCCCTGCCCCTGGCAGCGCCTCCCCGGGGGGCTGCGGAAGCCCAGGGCG